CAGAGTGCAAAATCTGGAGCAAACAAAGCGAAGATTTATTTTTTCCTTTTAAGAAATGCTATTGAACTAATACCTTTTAGTTTTCCCCTAACCACTTAATCACTTCCCTTCTGTCTCTTTTGTTCCTTAAACATAGATTTTTCTGACCTAGCTCTCTTCACAAGGATATGTTCTTCAAGGGCAAACTCAAATTGAAAATCTAAATCTCCATTATCAATGGGAATATTAAGTAAATTACAGAACTTTCCTATTATGGAATACCATGTAGCCATTAAAAAGAATGAGGCATATCTAAATATAATAACAAGGAAAGTTGTTCATGGTATATTGTCAAGTGAAAAGAGCAACTTATAGAACAATATGATCCAGCAAACAAATGCCAGGTGTCTGTATATGTCAAAATATATAGGAAAATATCTGGAAGGCTGTATGTCAAACTTGGGATAGTAGGACTGGGAATAGGAGAAATGAGTAGTAAGACTTTCCTATTTTATTTTATACAGTTGTGAATTGTTTGAATTTTTATAATGAGTTCGTGTTATTTTTATAATGTAAAAAGCAATTTTAATGAAAAATCCAAGAAAGATTTAAATACACAGACATATGTCACGTTCATGGAGAGGAAGACTCAATATTGGTAAGATGACAGTTTTTCCCAACTTGATATGTATATTCAATACAATCTCAATTAAAATCTCAGCAGGTTACTATGTAGATCTCCACAAACTAATTCTAAAGTTTATATGTGAAGGCAAATGACCTAGAAAATACAATACAATATTGAAAAACAAAAACAAAGTCAGAGTACTGACACTACTCAACTTTAAGACTACTATAAAGCTATAATAACCAAGACAGTGTTACACTGGCAAAGAATAAACAAATAGATCAAAAAATGGAACAGAATAGTCAGAAATAAAACCACACAAATACAGTCAACTGATCTTTGATAAAAGAGCAAAGGCAATCCAATAAAGAAAGGGGAGTTGTTTCAACAAATAGTGCTAGAACAACTGGACAGCCCCATGTAAAAAAAAAAAAAATGAATCTAGACACAGAACTTAAATCTTCCACAAAAATTAAAAATGGATCACAGACCTAAATGTGAAATGTAAAACTATAAAACTTCTAGAAGATAGCATAGGAGAAAATCTAGGTAACCTTGGATTTGGCCGTTAGTTTTTAGATACCACAAAAAGCACAATCCATGAAAGAAAAAAACTGTTAAGTTGGACTACATTAAAATTGTAAACTTCTGCTTTGTGAAAGACACTGTTAAGAGACTGAAAAGGCAAGCCTCAGATTGGAAGAAAATATTTGCAAAGCACCTATCTGATAAAGGACTTACATCCAGAATATACAAAGAACTCTTAAAACCCAACAATTAGAAAGCAAAAAACCCAATCACCAAATGGACAAAAGATCTGACCAGACACTTCACCAAAGAAGAATACAGATGGCAAATAATCATAAGAAAAGATGCTCAACATAATGTGTCATTAGGGAATTGCAAATTAAAACAAGATACCACTAGACACCTATGAGACTGGTTAAAATCCAAAACAATGACAACACTAAATGGTGGTGAGAAAGTGGTGCAACAGGATCTCTCACTCATTGTTGGTGCCAATACAAATAGTGCAGTCACCTGGGAAGACAGTCTGGCAGTTTATTACAAATATAAACATAATCTCACCACCATACTATCTAGCAAACACACTCCTAAGTATTTACCCAAATGTGTTTAAAACCTATGTCCAGACAAAGACTGTCTTAGGCCGGGTACTCTAGAGAAGCAAAACCAGTAAAGCATATAAATATATAGAGAGATTTATACCAAGGAAACAGCTCAAGCAATTGTAGAGGCTAGAATGTCCCAAGTCTGTGGATCAGGGTAGAGGCCTCTCCCAATTCACGCAGCCGCAGAAGCGAACCCAAGATTGGCAGGCCAGAGAGCAGGGCTCCCACTTACAGGCTGTGAAGATCGACGAATCCCAAGATCAACAGGTAAGCTGCTAGCTAAAGTCCCAAGAACCGGAGGTGAGATGACAAGAAGCAGCTGCCGGATCCGGAACAAGTCAAAAACTTTAGCAAGGCAAGCAGGAGGAAGTAGCCAGCAGAGGGCAGAGAGATGAAGGCTGAGGGGGCAGTGAGCCGCCACAGGCCGCGCTCCTGCTGGTACCACTCAGCAGATTCCATTATGGGGGTGATCACATATCCAGTTTCAACAGGGAAATGATCACATTATACAACTGTCAAAACACTGAGAATCATGGCCTAGCTAAGCTGACATACAATCTTAACCATCAAAAACACCTGCACATGAATGTTTATAGCAGCTTTATTAATAATGAAAAAGAAATGTGCTCTCAGGCTGCAAAAAGACATGGAGGACCCTTAAAAGCATATTGCTAAGTGAGAGAAAACCCACTGCCACAGAGATGACTCCAACTCTTAGCAACCCTGTAGGGTTTCCAAGGCTATAAATCTGTATGGAAGCAGACTGCCACGTTTTTCTCCTGTGAAGTCACTGGTGGTTTCAAACCACCAATCTTTCGGTTAGCAGTCCATTGCTTTAACCACTGCACCACCAGGGCTCCAAAGTGAAAGAAGCCAATCTGAAAAGGCTACACACTATATGATTCCAACTATATGACATTTTGGAAAAAGCAAAACTATAGAGACAGTAAAAAGATCTGTGGTTTCCAGGGGTTTAGAGGATGGGAGGAGGATGAATAGCTGTGGAGCATAGGGGATTTTTAGGGCAGACCAACAGCAAACCACTTGCTCGAAATTCAAAAAGGAATACAGCCAATTTTTTTCCATAAGTTCTTCCTTCAAATGCAAATCTTCTATTCTCTCAGCAGTTCTGGGTGGTTCTGCATGTTTTTTTAAATGGAGATCTGAATGGAGCTCAGGTTTTCAGCCTAAGGCCCCCACTCTATACACAGGGCTACTTCATTCAAACAACCTGTGTTTCTCTTAGGCAAATTCTATTTCTTCTTTTAGCATATCCAAATCAAGTATTGGCTGAAGAGGGAGTTGCATGCTTTCTGTAATCTATAATACCCAATATTCATTTCTAGCATACATTTAGGTCTGCTTTACAACATTAGATAGGAGAAACATTCAATATCCCCACTACATTCAGATAAATGCATAATCCTAAACACATAATCCTTTTAAAATATTCCAGTTTAGTCTTCTCTACACCTTAACTATCTTCCCATTCATATGCATATGGCCTTGGGCCTCTGGCTGGGTGGAACCAGAAGATCCTGGCCCCCTATCAATCATCCTGCTTATCTGGCCTAGCTTTTGCCCCAGGCCACTCCAGGTGCAGCTTTTCAGTCATTACAGGTAAAAACAACGATCTAAGAATCAAAAGTTTCACTTCCCAAGCCCCTTCATTCTTTATCCTACAAAGTCCCATGCTTTCATGAGTCTGGAGCCATTACAAAGAATCCCACTTCTGACATCAACTGTAAAAAGGGCTTTGGGGCAGTGTCTGACCTCTTACCTCACAAGGGGAAAGGAGAATCAAGATCAACAGCCCAAGGCTGATTCCCATGAGGTGGAGGTCAGATATGCCTCCTCTCTCTGTCATCTTTACTAATTCTGACACCAACGGTCCCTCCCACAGCACTTTCTATTGGGTTTGATAATTCATTGCAATGGCCACACAGAACTCACAGACCATACACACAATTATGGGGTTTATTAAGGAAGTAACAGTTACAGTTCAGGCTCAAGAACATTCAGGATATAGTTCTTCCATCAGGAGAGCCTCTCCTCAGCTGTGCTTGCAGGCATGCCTCTCCCTGGCCCTCAGTCTCCACCCGAAGGCACTCAGCTTTCTCTCTCCATGGGTCAGGAAGCCCACCATGCTGTCTCCTGTTGCCAGGTCTCTGCTACTGGGTCTCTCCTTCCTCGGTGGTGGTGAGCTCCTCCTCTTTGCTCTGGAATTAGCTCTCTTTTAAGGAAAAACTGACCAATCCCCTTGATAGGCCACAATTACTCTATCACGCAATCACCTGGGTGGCAGTTACAAGACCACCACTAGGAAGGCCACACACTAAAGTAATTAATCCACCGCAGGTAGTGAAATTATTCTGTGTGAGACTGTAATGGTGGATATATGACCTCATGCATTTTTTAAAACCCATAGGACTATACAACAAAGAATGAACACTAATGTAAACTATGGACTGTAGTTAATAATGTATTAATATTAGTTAATCAATTATAACAAATGTAACACACTAATAAAAGATAATAATAATCGTGGAAACTATTGGGTGGGTACATGTGAACTCTTTGTACTTTCTATAATTTTTCCATAAACCTAAAACTGCTATGAAAAGTAAAAATTATTAATAATAATTTTAGGAACATACTGGTAGGTGACAAATATTTGATGGCCCCAATTAGTTAGCTGGAACCTCCATTATTTATACCATTTTATTTCTCCAAGTTTATTTTCCACTGACTCTCCCATACATAGCATGGGTGCTAATGACACTGGACTTTAACTTTTCTAAATACTGCCTGGATTTTCTAATGCTTCCACCACAACTCAGAGTACCCCCTTTTTTCTTAAATTCAATTACCCTAAAAAAAAAAAACTATGCCTATATGAGATTTTGTGCACATACGAGAATCATGCACATAGAGAATCATACACATATGAGAACATGATGTACTTTATAAAAGAAAAAGTGCAGATTTCCAGAGAATTTTCTGCATTTTCAATCAACAAGCTTTAATAAATCTTAAATATATCACTTCTTGAATTATAAAGTAACAGGAAATAATAAATAAGTACAAAGTTTCTGAACAGATAATCGTTATTTCTGTATAAAACAATGACTTTCTTAAACATTAAGAATATTGTGACAGCCCTCAATAATTTTTAGAATGAGGTAGAGAACACAAAGAAAGCAAAAAAGTGCATTTCACTTCAAATAAAAAAATTAAAAATCAAGAACCAAATTTCCTACCATTGTGAGGGTAAATGGATGATTTTCCAATGCAGACACACTGGGACAATGTAGGAAGATATACTAAAAAGAAACAGATAATTTTTAAACAATCAAGAAAGGAGCTCAAATATTCCAATGATGCTATGTCTGCTAATTTTCAAAATCTAAATAAGAATAAAGGGTGTGCTAAAAGCTGCTGACCACTAACTCACCTGGCCAGGTCTTGCTTTAAAATTTTCTCTGACCATTCGAATTTCCATGACATCTGAGGGATGACTTATGACTGAGATGATGGTCACTGGCTTATTGCTCCGGATACATCTGTAAAGTCTTTCAGCACAGTATAGGCACAAAGGTCCAGAAATCCAAAGCCAAGTCTAAAGGAGAATTTTGAAAATACCCTTAAGAAATATTTTCATTTTAAGAACCTTTATATCATGCACAATTGCTTATCTCACACGTTTCAGTAATACATTTTAATCTGTATTTTTTTTTTTTTTTTAATGATTTCATGATTTCTTCAGGGTCTTCAACTGTGTTAGGTTAATTTTTTTTTTAATTTTTGTGGTGCATTAGGTGAAAGTTTACAGAGCAAATCAGTTTACCATTCGATAGTTTGTACATAAAGTGTTCCATGACATTGGTTTCATTCCCCACGTCAGCACACTCCCCATTTCCGCCTTAGGTTCCTTGCTCCCTTTTGTCCTGGTTTTTAACCCCTTCCGCCTTCTCATGTTTGCTGTTAGGCAAATGTTGCCTTTTTGATCTCATACAATTGATCGTTCTAAGGAACACATTCCTCTCGGGTGTTATTGTTTATTTTATGGGACTGTCTATGGTTTGGCTGAAAGGTGGTCTAGGCAATGGCTTCAGTTTCAGTTCAGAGGGGTGTCTTAGGGCCATAGTCTTAAGGGTTCCTCTGTATTTTAAAATCTATATTTTCAATAATAAAAAGTAAATGAATAAAAAATAATAAGTGCTCACTGCAACTCATTCAAACAATACAGATATAAAAAATAAAAGGGAAGTGATGCCAAGACCCCACTATCAAACACATGCCCCAGGTATAACAAGCATTAGCAGATAGGTGTACACCCCTTCACAATTCTGTGCACACAGCAAATATGTAATGTGTATATACAATATCTTTCTCTAGAAAGAAGGAAGTTGAAAAGTCAGGTAAATCTATTAGTTTAGAAAAAAAAAGTATCAGTCCAATGTTTATTTAAAAAAAAAGAAAATCCTAGGTATTTTGTAACTTATAAAAAACACATATTTTTAAAAATGGGATATGTTAGACATTATTTTGCAAGCGACTTTTACATACTGTCATATAAACAGAAGATAATACTTAGAATTTGAAAACAATGACAATTTTACATATGTGCTGGATGAACAGCCCTGATCCCCGGATAACTGAGTACTTTGGGAAGTGTAGAAGCCTGTATGGCCAGCTTGCTCCTACAACTGCACACTACATCTCCCTCATCACTATGAGGCCTCTACTCAAAAATCACCATTTTAATGCTTACATTTTAAAACCTTATTTATATAGTTGTCCTAGACCTACCACTTCCCATGCAGACAGATCATGTCTCTTCCTCATATAATGGCATTTAGCCCAATAGTGTGTGCAGAGCAGGCATGGCAGAACAAGCTCTGTGAGGTAGCAACCTTGCAACTTTGTGACAAACACCCTTTAAACATCAGGTCCAACATGAGTAAAATAGGAATCCCCATACCTGCCCTGTCTAGCATTCAGCATCGTGTGAAGGCCAGAAAAATTCTGAAAATTGTCAATTCTAATGGAAATTCAAGGACTATTATTAATAATAAACATAAGACTAACATACTTATTCCAAAATCATCCTCGGATTGACTGGAGCCTTTGGCTCCCTTTCCTTCTCTTCTGAAGACAGACATTCAGCATCATTATTTCAGAATTATACTTCGTATAGGAAAAGAGTGTATAATTTTCTGTGTGTGCAGCCACAAGTGAAGATTAGAGCCCTTATTTAACTACTTGGGCAATCACTTTCATGAAGTAGTATGAAAAAGATAGTATAATGTGCATTCATATGATGCTTTACAGTTTATAGATCACATTTACATGCATTGATCTAATGGTTGTAGGACAAACCCCTGAGCTCTTATCATTATATCCATTTTACAAGTACGACAAGTTGAGATTCTATTTTATGAAAAATTAGTTGAGTTCAGGGATAGAGTCAGAAAATGAACTTAGGTTTTCCAACTCCTGATGCAGGGTTTTTCTCCCATGGTGTTTCAATGACCTCCAGGGAGTATCTTTTCACAGGTAGCATGGATGGCACACACAGGAAGGCAGGGGAAGAATATCTCTCTCAGGGACACTACATAAAAGCTTCAGGGCCTTTAAGTTGCCTGGGGCAACTTCAGTTCACAAATGGTTGTTTATCTGGACCTCATTCTGAAACAGGGCCTTAGTGTTCTAAATTGTTGCTGAAGAATACACAAGTATTTGAAATACAGCCATTAAACTATAAGGGGTAACATTAATCCCATTTCCATAGGAAAAATGTTTAAGACTTAAAATAAACCTTGATAACTATGTAATGTGCCAACTGCAGTGGGATCTTACTTCCCAAATAAACTAGGAGACAGGGCCTCCGGCTTTAATAAAAGCCACCAGTGAAGGGGTCGAGTACTTTAAATCCAAGTTATGAGTGGAACTTCAAAAGGGAAGCGGAATGCTGAGTAGTAAAGAAAAGACGAGGAGAGAAAGCACAATAAAGTGCTGCTGATAAGGTAGTGGAACATTCCCTTTTGGGGTCAGCACTTTTCAGGAAGTCAAAAAAAAAAAAAAGTAAGAACTTGGGTTTTTTTTTTTAAAGTAAACCAAGGAAGATATAATAGGAAAGAGAAATTGTGAGGAAAGATAGCATCTGAAGGTTATTTGGGTACCAATGGAGCTATAAAAATACAACCTCTGGTTTCCTTTTCCTCATATGAAGAACGACTGCTAAGAAGTCAATATTTCTGTTTTTTTCCTGCCAAATTTTAGTGTGATTATAACACAAATACGGAGCCCTGTTGGTACAATGGTTAAGTGCTTAGCTATTAAGGTCAGCGGTTGGAATCTAGTAGCCATTCAGAGGCAGAAAGATGTGGCAGTCTGCTTCCATAAAGATTAACAAATAAAAACCAAACCTACTGCCATCGAGTCGATTCCAACTCAAAGTGACCCTGGACAGAGCAGAACTGCCTCAGAGGGTTTCCAAGAAGCGGCTGGTGGATTTGAACTGGTAACCTTTTGGTTAGCAGCTGAGCTGTTAACCACTGCATCACCAGCACTCCATGAAGATTACAGCCTTGGAAATCCTATGGGGCAGTTCTACTCTGTCCTATAGAGTCACGAGTCTGAATCAACTCCATGCCAACATGTATAGTACAAATATTCAAAAAGTGCTCTCATCATTCTGCAAGAATAATTGCTTTATATAGCTTCAAAAAACATATTTAAATGCAATTTTGATCAACCATTATAGGAACCTGGATTTGCAGAAACCATCTAAGACGTAGAATTAATTTAACCTGTGGAAAATTAGCTTGGAACCTGGGCTCTTCCTTACAAATCTTCACAAATGTATTCCTGGTAAGCTCATCTGGTTTTGAAAATTCTCCAGGGAAAAGTTCATGGAAGTCCTCTGAGAGATACTCTGGTAAGGGAATATTCTGGTAGCGGGTCCGGTTAAGACTGATGCAGCCAGGAGGGTGGGTATCTAAATTAGTTTGATACTTCAGCAGCCCTCTAAAATTTAAAAAAAAAAAAAAAAAAAGAGGAGGATGAAAAAAAAGATTGAGATCAGGGGACACAATAAAAGAAAATAACCCTTCTCTTAGTACTTTTATACGGCATTTTTCTGAAAAGTATTCCTTACACATCTTATTTAGGAGAAACTGAGAAATGTTAAAATTTCTAATAAATTATTTTATAGGGAACTAAATGAAAATTTCTGGCCTCCCAAACAAATGCCAAAAATGCATGATAGGAAAGAACACAAGCACTCTAACTATTCTTGAACTTGACAGCCTTTACTTTAAGTCTATTAGGCTTTCATGCAATCACATACAAGTTTTCACTTCAATAAACACTGTAATGATGAGTGACTCTGCTATATCTTCAAACAGAAATGGAAAAGTACAGCGATCACATCTGATTTGGGTAACACTCAATAAAACTGCTGATTTAGACAGAAATCTTAAACAAAAATAACAACAGGAACTAGAAGCTTGCCTCCCCTATGATCTGAAAAAAAATTACACATAGCAATCAGACCCTAAATCTGTTTACTTTTCTATTTCTCCATAAACAGGATGACATGAAAATCTCAAAATAATGAAATCAGGCAGGAGAGCCTAAAACCCTGAAATCCTATTCTGATTCTGCCTTTTTCTTATTTGGTGACATTCTAAGACAAAACATTCAACTTCTGTGTTCTATATTTTCTATTAATAAGGAGTTAAGTGAGATCTACCTCATGGGGATAGTGCTTCAAATTATAGACTGTACAGAGCATCAATCAAATAGAGCACTGCTTCATAAGCAAATGTTGAAAAAATAAAAAGGTAATTTTATGAAAAGCACCGAAAACTTTGCTGTGTGTTTTTATTTTAGAAGACATAAAAAATATTTTGCTCCCAAAATGATTTTTTCTGGTTGGCTTTAAGGAGTCCTGATGACACAGTGGTTAAGTGCTCTGCTACTAACTGAAAGGTCAGCAGTTCAAAGCCACCAGCCACTCCATGCGAGAAAGACGCGGCAGTCTGCTCCCATAAAGATCACAGCTCTAGAAACCCTATAGGGAAGTTCTACTCTGTCCTATAGGGTCGCTATGAGTTGGGATTGACTTGAGGGCAGCAGGATTTTTTTTTTAAAGTGTGTGTTATCTTCCAATTACCTTTCATGCTCCCAAATAATTAATTTAAATAGCTTAAACTGTGTATCTTTAAGTGTATCACAGGTATAGTGATTTTACAAATGCTTTTACAAAGACAATATTTTAAAATAACAAAAACTATAAGATGAATAATGATACTAATAGATAAACCATAAGAAAGTTAGGAATGCAATGGCTGAGGCAGTCGTTGGCAGAATATGCCATCTCCTTAACCTGATCAATTTCCTCTTTTCTCCCATTTATGTTCAGCTCCTTTTCTCTCTTCTTTTTGCTTTCTTCCTTCAAACTAATCATCATAAAGTCATTAGGGAGCACACACAGTACACGTCAGGGGCATCTAACTATGGACTGCATTACACCACATTCATCTATCGTAGGCCACACACACACATTTTTCCTTTTTAAGTAATAGGAGTAGATAATGGCTGAGGTGTGGCATAAATTGATGGATATCATATGAATGTGAGTCAAGTATATAACTATTTTCTTTTTGTCAATATTCCTTCATAGAGTTCTAATCCCATAATATAATTGTTGTAATATTATCTAGGACAAGCTATTAATTTGATTTAGCCTCCATTACAAATAATGATTTACCCAACCCTATTGCTTCCATTGACCCTCCTGAGGGTAGTGGCTGACAGGTGGGTAGGCCAAAAATCTTAGGCATTTATTCTACTTGTCAAAGGTTGAACAAACATTGGCACAATACACTTAGCACTATTATACGTAGTGCTACAGAGGTCAAAGAACAGTTCAATCTGGTCCCCACCCTCTAGAAACTTAAAATTTTAGTTTGGAAAATATCATTGGAGAAATACAACATAAGTCAGACCACAAATAATGATTGAAATAGAGGTTTTATAATAACAGCTCAGTAATTCTTGGTCAACACCATGTATAGCACAAAGCATGTTAGATACATTTCACATTATCCTCATGACACATGCATAAGAATTATTCCCATTTTACAAATGAAGATTTTAAAAGAGTAAATAAATAATATGTCTATATTCGCACAGCTGATGTGACAGAGCCAAAATCTGAACCCAGACCTGACAAATTCTAGGCCCTTTACCTCTCACTAAACAGAAGACTAGTTCATTATATCCCGAGGAAAACTGATATTTCTTAGGAAAGTATTCTATCAGGATTTTTTTTTAATGTCTATTTCTCATTTAAGCTTCAAAACAAGTATTTTCATTCCCATTACACAGATGAGAAATCTACTGCTTTTGCTTAGGCAAGAAATTAAGTAGTAGTCAAAGCATAGGAGCTCTGGTGGCATAGAGGTTAACCGCTCAGCTGCTAACTTAAAGGGTGGCGGTTCGAACCCACCAGCCGCTCCATGGCAGAAAGATGTGGCAATCTACTACCTTAAAGAATCCAGCCTTGGGAACTCTATGGGGTAGTTCTACTCTGTCCTACAGGATTGCTCTAAGTCAGAATAGATTTGAGGCACACAAAAACAACAGTAGTCAAAGCATGGGGTTCAGAAACCTTATCTCCCTCACTCCAAACACCTATGTCATGCAAATCAAATCAGTTGGTTAAAGAAGCAGACATCAAGGAAATGGTTCAAAATGAACAAAGGCAAAGAAATAAGGTCAGATAGTATGTGTGAATGTGTGTGGGGTGTAAGTGTGTGTGTATGTGTGTTGGAAGGAGGCTGATAATAATGGATAGTCTTAACATTAGGCAAATGAATGTTATTTATTCCTTCTCCTAAATCATAACAGCACTCAGGTGGACACAGCCTTGCCATGCTAATTAATGGTCCTTAGAGTGATAAATGTTGTTACTATACAGTGTAAGTCTTCAGGCCAGTCCAGTCAAATAAACAGTGTTGCTGCTCTTGGCACTGAAAGTGACACATAGTATTCTAAAATCCTTTTAATTTTGAGAGTTTTATGTTGGTTTAAACTACTGCTGTGCTAAATGGCATAGCTTATCTCTGTCTTAAAATCTCACTAAATTTCTTTACTTTGTCTTAGTTTATAATCGCTGCCATCAAAGAAACATGGATAAGAGAAAATGATAAAAAATATCATTCATCAAAAATAAAAAAATCAAATATGGAATCTCACGTTAGAGCTAAAGTACAACCTTGAGTATATCTCACCTGAATTTAGAGACTATCTCAAGAATAGGTTTGACACGCTGAACACCAATGACCAAAGACCAGACAAGTTGTGGAATGGCATCAAGGACATCATACATGAAAAAAGCAAGATGTCATTAAAAGTGTTGAAAAGCAAAGACATCACCTTGAAGACTAAGGTGCGCCTGACCCAAGCCATAGCATTTTCTATTGCATCATATGCATGCGAAAGCTGGACAATGAATAATGAAGATCAAAGAAGAACTGATCCTTTTGAACTGTGGTGTTGGCGAAGAATACTGAATATACCATGGACTGCCAAAAGAATGAACAAATCTGTCTTGGAAGAAGTACAACCAGAATGCTCCTTACAAGCAAGGATGGTAAGACTACGTCTTACATTCTTCAGACATGTTGTCAGGAGGGATCAGTTCCTGGAGAAGAACGTCATGCTTGGTAAAGTACAGGGTCAGCAAAAATGAGGGAGGCCCTCAACTAGATGGATTGACACAGTGGTTGCAACAATGGGCTCAAGAATAACAACGACTGTAAGCATGGCACAGCACTGGGTAGTGTTTCGTTCTGTGGTGCACAGGGTCGCCATGAGTCAGAACCAACTCGACGACACCTAACAACAACATGTCATTGGCTCTAACTAGGTGGTGAAGATACTGAAAGGCTCACAAGGAAAGACACTCAGTATTCAAAGGACTGGTGCTGGGTACACCACACACATGCTTGATGCTTTAAACATGCTTTGTTTAAACTTCATAACAAACTGTGTGGTAGGACTCAATGGCCCTATCCTAACAATGAGTGAATATATTCAGAGGATTTAAGTCATTTGCTTAAGACTACGCTGTCAGTGGTACAGTTAAGGCAGAGACGCCAGACAGTTTGATTCCAAAGTCCATGCTGCTTCACCTAAGCCTGGCTCACTTCCCTTTGCAGAATAGAATACCCATTCTACTTTTTTGAAGAATATCCTGAAATTGAAGGCCAATGTATGTACTGAACAAACTTTTATCGCACTGCATGGTTATATATTTAGAAAAGGCAATAGAGTATATTTCTACCAAACCAATAATTTATATATTTGTTATTTTCCAAATTAAATTAAATGCAACAGCTTACTTTTTCATTGTACTAGTGAAAAATAAGAGTGCACACTTCCTTGTTACTAGTGCAAAATTTTTAGAATTCTTAGAATATGTATTTTTAGAACACAATATTTCATAAAAATTACATTTCAAGCCCATTAAAATAATTTCTTTCTGAAGAAGTTTAGATAGGAATGTAGACTAGATATTACAGATATTCGGATTGATAGATTAAAAATCAGATATCATCTCTCTAGTCCGTTCATTTCACTGTAACCACATTTGTTAAAATTTGAGTTATAAGTTATGTATGGTTTTTTTGGTTGTTCTGAATTCCCAGTACCTTTATTTATTTCAGCTGACATAAGTACTTGTCTTTCTTAAGAGTTTAATGTAACCGTCTCAAATATAAAGGAGTCCATTTTTAACAACACGCCGCTGTGTCCATCTGCCAGATAATCCTGATTCCTCTCCTTGCCCCACATCACTACCCAAATATATCTGTTTTCAAATGTATTATTTTATCAATTTTTGAACCTTATTAATTTAAACAATATAGCTTAAAGAAGTTTACAATCTAGTGTAGTGCTGTCCAATAAAATTTCCTGTGATGATGAAAATGTTCTAAATCAGTGTTCGTCCAATATAG